ACCGCTTTCCGAATTGAAATTAATGCATTTTTGGCTTAGTTACGAATTTTTTAAATTTTGATTTGCCAAAAAAATTTCATATAAAAATGTAGTTTAATGGTATTGCCCCTTCAGTCAGAAGCTTAAAAGAAAGTGAAGGAGTCACTTCCGACCCTATAAATCTTATGGCACCAGGTTTTAGCTAATCCGGCTAAAAAATTTTCAAATTTCTATTTCTGAAAAATGAAAGGGTTACATCATGAATTTCGAAATCGCAAAATTCACATTTAAATGAGTATGCAGTTTAATTTCTGCTGAACATCGACGCTTTCCGAATTAAATTAATGCATTTTGGCTTATAATAATTTTGATTTGTCGTAAAATTTGCATATAAAAATATAGTTAATTCCGACTAAAAAATGGTATTGCACCTTCAGTCAGAAGCTTAAAAGAAAGTGAAGGAGTCACTTCCGACCCTATAAATCTTAGGCAGTTTTATTAACCTGCTAAAAATTAACATAAGACCGCTTTCCGAATTGAAATTAATGCATTTTTGGCTTAGTTACGAATTTTTTAAATTTTGATTTGCCAAAAAAATTTCATATAAAAATGTAGTTTAATGGTATTGCCCCTTCAGTCAGAAGCTTAAAAGAAAGTGAAGGAGTCATTTCCGACCCTATAAATCTAGGCAGTTTATTAACTGCTAAAAATTAACATAAACGCTTCCAATTAAATAATCATTTTTTAGTACGAATTTTTAATTTTGATTGCAAAAAAAAAAAAAAAGTAATGTATGCCTTCATCAGAAGCTTAAAAAAGTGAAGGTCATTCGACCTATAAATCTAGAGAATCTTTCAGCTATATCCGACTAAAAAATTTTTCAGAAATTTCCTATTTTCTGAAAAAAATGAAAGGGTTACATCATGAAAATTTGCGAAATCGCCAAAATTCACTTTTAAATGGAGTATGCAGTTAATTTCCTGCTAAAACTGAACATCGACGCTTCCGAATTAAAATAATGCATTTTTGGCTTAGTATGAGATTTTTAAATTTTGATTGTCGTAAAATTTGCATATAAAATTAGTTAATTCCGACTAAAAATGGTATACTTCAAGACCGCTTTCCGAATTGAAATTAATGCATTTTTGGCTTAGTTAGAATTTTTAAATTTTGATTTGCTAAAAATATTATTGCATCGATAAAAAAATGTATTGCACCTTCAGTCAGAAGCTAAAAAAAAAAAAAAAAAAAAAAAAAAAGAAAGTGAAGGAGTCACTTCCGACCCTATAAATCTTAGGCAGTTTTATTAACCTGCTAAAAATTAACATAAGACCGCTTTCCGAATGAAATTAATGCATTTTTGGCTTAGTTACGAATTTTTAAATTTTGATTTGCCAAAAAAATTTCATATAAAAATGTAGTTTATGTATGCCCTTCAGTCAGAAGCTTAAAGAAAGTGAAGAGTCATTCGACCTAAATCATATATTCTGATCGCATCAACAGGAATCTTTCAGCTATATCGGACAAAAAATTTTTTCAGAAATTCCTATTTCTGAAAAAATGAAGGGGTTACATCATGAAAATTTGCGAAAATCGGCCAAAAATTCACATTTTAAATGGAGTATGCAGTTTAATTATCCTGCTAAAACTGAACATACGACCGCTTTCCGAATTGAAATTAATGCATTTTTGGCTTAGTTATGAGATTTTTAAATTTTGATTTGTCGTAAAATTTGCATATAAAAATATAGTTAATTCCGACTAAAAAATGGTATTGCACCTTCAGTCAGAAGCTTAAAAGAAAGTGAAGGAGTCACTTCCGACCCTATAAATCTTAGGCAGTTTTATTAACCTGCTAAAAATTAACATAAGACCGCTTTCCGAATTGAAATTAATGCATTTTTGGCTTAGTTACGAATTTTTTAAATTTTGATTTGCCAAAAAAATTTCATATAAAAATGTAGTTTAATGGTATTGCCCCTTCAGTCAGAAGCTTAAAAGAAAGTGAAGGAGTCACTTCCGACCCTATAAATCTTAGGCAGTTTTATTAACCTGCTAAAAATTAACATAAGACCGCTTTTCGAATTGAAATTAATGCATTTTTGGCTCAGTTACGAATTTTTTAAATTTTGATTTGCCAAAAAAATTTCATATAAAAATGTAGTTTAATGGTATTGCACCTTTAGTCAGAAGCTTAAAAGAAAGTGAAGGAGTCACTTTCGACCCTATAAATCTTAGGCAGTTTTATTAACCTGCTAAAAATTAACATAAGACCGCTTTCCGAATGAAATTAATGCATTTTTGGCTTAGTTACGAATTTTTTAAATTTTGATTTGCCAAAAAAATTTCATATAAAAATGTAGTTTAATGGTATTGCCCCTTCAGTCAGAAGCTTAAAAGAAAGTGAAGGAGTCACTTTCGACCCTATAAATCATATATATTCTTGATCAGCATCAACAGGCGAATCTTTCTAGCTACATCCGGGCGAAAAAATTTTTTTTCAGAAATTTCCTATTTTCTGAAAAAAATGAAAGGGGTTACATCATGAAAATTTGCGAAAATCGGCCAAAAATTCACATTTGAAATGGAGTATGCAGTTTAATTATCCTGCTAAAACTGAACATCCGACCGCTTTCCGAATTAAAATTAATGCATTTTTGGCTTAGTAATGAGATTTTTAAATTTTGATTTGTCGTAAAATTTGCATATAAAAATATAGTTAATTCCGACTAAAAAATGGTATTGCACCTTCAGTCAGAAGCTTAAAAGAAAGTGAAGGAGTCACTTCCGACCCTATAAATCTTAGGCAGTTTTATTAACCTGCTAAAAATTAACATAAGACCGCTTTTCGAATTGAAATTAATGCATTTTTGGCTCAGTTACGAATTTTTTAAATTTTGATTTGCCAAAAAAATTTCATATAAAAATGTAGTTTAATGGTATTGCACCTTTAGTCAGAAGCTTAAAAGAAAGTGAAGGAGTCACTTTCGACCCTATAAATCTTAGGCAGTTTTATTAACCTGCTAAAAATTAACATAAGACCGCTTTCCGAAATGAAATTAATGCATTTTTGGCTTAGTTACGAATTTTTTAAATTTTGATTTGCCAAAAAAATTTCATATAAAAATGTAGTTTAATGGTATTGCCCCTTCAGTCAGAAGCTTAAAAGAAAGTGAAGGAGTCACTTTCGACCCTATAAATCATATATATTCTTGATCAGCATCAACAGGCGAATCTTTCTAGCTACATCCGGGCGAAAAAATTTTTTTTCAGAAATTTCCTATTTTCTGAAAAAAATGAAAGGGGTTACATCATGAAAATTTGCGAAAATCGGCCAAAAATTCACATTTGAAATGGAGTATGCAGTTTAATTATCCTGCTAAAACTGAACATCCGACCGCTTTCCGAATTAAAATTAATGCATTTTTGGCTTAGTAATGAGATTTTTAAATTTTGATTTGTCGTAAAATTTGCATATAAAAATATAGTTAATTCCGACTAAAAAATGGTATTGCACCTTCAGTCAGAAGCTTAAAAGAAAGTGAAGGAGTCACTTCCGACCCTATAAATCTTAGGCAGTTTTATTAACCTGCTAAAAATTAACATAAGACCGCTTTCCGAAATGAAATTAATGCATTTTTGGCTTAGTTACGAATTTTTTAAATTTTGATTTGCCAAAAAAATTTCATATAAAATGTAGTTTAATGGTATTGCCCCTTCAGTCAGAAGCTTAAAAGAAAGTGAAGGAGTCATTTCCGACCCTATAAATCTTAGGCAGTTTTATTAACCTGCTAAAAATTAACATAAGACCGCTTTCCGAATTGAAATTAATGCATTTTTGGCTTAGTTACGAATTTTTTAAATTTTGATTTGCCAAAAAAATTTCATATAAAAATGTAGTTTAATGGTATTGCCCCTTCAGTCAGAAGCTTAAAAGAAAGTGAAGGAGTCACTTTCGACCCTATAAATCATATATATTCTTGATCAGCATCAACAGGCGAATCTTTCTAGCTACATCCGGGCGAAAAAAATTTTTTCAGAAATTTCCTATTTTCTGAAAAAAATGAAAGGGGTTACATCATGAAAATTTGCGAAATTCGCCAAAAATTCACATTTTAAATGGAGTATGCAGTTTAATTATCCTGCTAAAACTGAACATCCGACTGCTTTCCGAATTAAAATTAATGCATTTTTGGCTTAGTAATGAGATTTTTAAATTTTGATTTGTCGTAAAATTTGCATATAAAAATATAGTTAATTCCGACTAAAAAATGGTATTGCACCTTCAGTCAGAAGCTTAAAGAAAGTGAAGGAGTCACTTCCGACCCTATAAATCTTAGGCAGTTTTATTAACCTGCTAAAAATTAACATAAGACCGCTTTCCGAAATGAAATTAATGCATTTTTGGCTTAGTTACGAATTTTTTAATTTTGATTTGCCAAAAAATTTCATATAAAAATGTAGTTTAATGTATTGCCCTCAGTAAAGGGATCATTTCCGACCCTATAAATCATATATATTCTTGATCGGCATCAACAGGAGAATCTTTTCAGCTATATCCGGACAAAAAAAATGTTTTTCAGAAATTTCCCATTTTCTGAAAAAAATGAAAGGGGTTACATCATGAAAATTTGCGAAATTCGCCAAAAATTCACATATTAAATGGAGTATGCAGTTTAATTATCCTGCTAAAACTGAACATACGACCGCTTTCTGAATTGAAATTAAAGCATTTTTGGCTTAGTTACGAGATTTTTCCATTTTGATTTGTAGTGAAATTTTCATATAATTATAGTGTTAATATCGATTCTTTGTAAAGCCGTGTTAGAAAGGTAAGCATTAGTTTAAGGGGTTCTTAAACAGAAAATGGAAAACCCTTAATTTTGGCTTCGGGTTTTTCTCAAAAAGTCTGTTACGCAAAACATTTTTAAAATAAATTACCCACACCACATATGTACGCCACATGCCACATATGTCTTCCAAGGACAATTCCATTTCCACCACTTTGCAAAGACCAAACATCTGAATATTATACGTTGGTTTTTAATCATTGAGTTACAAATTTTTAAAACACAACATGATGGGAAATTAAAATAATAATGTTTTTCGCACTTCGTGTGCTGTGATCAGGGTGATTAGTGTTAATGGTTTAATCTACTAGAGTAATGATCTTCTGATGATCTAAAAACTCTGCTGCGAGACTGGAGTGCGAGAATCCTAGTCCTCATTGTCTGAGTACCAAGACAGGCGCTCCTCGTAGAAGTGAATCACCATTTGGGGGATCTTAACATTGGCCACAGTCGAGGGTACCATTTCAGCTTGGTCCACGCCCTTGAATTGAATCAAAAATGTGAGGCGGCCATTGTTATCGGAGGCCCCAAGAATTTTCTCAGCCTCAAGACCGCGATCAAATCCAGTTCCACCTGGCGGCATGGAATCGCCACTATCCTGGTCCGGCTCCATGGTGCGCTTAGCTTTAGCACTAACGGGTGCTGAGGAACAAAAAAATAATATCAATAAGGGAAAATTTTTTTGAGTTTACTTCGTAATTATACCATTCTTATATATTTTCAGTCTTACTTCTACAAATGTTAAACTTTTAATGACATTTTTGACTTAAGGTTGGAATAAAACATTGACATACCAATAGTATATCGCTATTAGGTGTCATACTCTCTATACATCGATATGTAACTGATAATTTAATATATTTTAATATATTTATTCATTTTTTAATATATTCTTATATTTAAAGAAACAAAAATAAATAAGATATCATTTTTCGTATGAATTTTTACGTTAAGTATGGTATGTTTCGATATCTACATATATGACGAATTTTTACTATATTTTCCATTTGATTTTGATCGCAGTATTTATGTTTATCATATAGGACAATAAACTATAATACAACAAACTATGGAGAGCAATCTCAATGGCTTTCAGCATCATTAATCCGCCGTATGACATTTTCATAATCGTTTTATTGGGGTTAACTGTACTTTCTACAAGGAAATCGTAAAAATGTTTTGTATCTGCATAATGTAACAAAATTTGGCTTGTTTCGGATATCTCACATCTAACAAATTAGTTGGATAGTTTTTTTTTTTTTTTGCCTGGTCCAATGTATAGAGAGTATTTACATATGATTCAATAGGTTCACAGCGGTTATACTCTCATCCACATTAGGGACGGTTGTCTACCTGGCTCTCAGTTGTCTTTCTATTGTTTAAACTCTTCAGGGGAAAAACATTCAAATATACTTTTAAAAAATTTTGTGCGCGAAAATAACATTTCTAGGCTTACAAAAATGTGAGTCCATCCAAGCCACTTGACGCTCTCAAGTTAACGAATCTCGAACACTACCCTTAAGAATGTAGAGCTGCTCACCTGGTTCTTCGGACTTTCGCTTGCTGCTCGAGGACGTAGACGCAGTGCTGGAGCGCGCCGTTGTGTCCTTGCCCTTGTTGCTGCTGTTTGGGCGGTCCTTCTTAGAAGTTCCCGCTTTCTCCGCCTGCGGAGCATCGGGATGATGCCAAGAGAGATACGATGAGTGACAGATCGATCACAACTGTACCCAAAGAAGCACTTACCTCGTCCTTTCGACTCAGCTCGTATTGCTGAATCAGATCTTGGCAGTCCAAGTTACTCTCCGGCTCCCAGGTATTCTCGGTGTCAGCATAACCCTTCCACTTGAGGTAGTACTCAACCTGCGGATAGAAACGAAAGATGAAGCGACGCAGTCAGCGAATTCTGGCGCGGAACACTCACTTTCCCTTTACGCACTCGCCGGTCGATGATCTTCTCTACGGCGTACTCTGCCTCCTCCTCTTCATCGGAGGCATTGCTATTGCTATTAACTTCGGGATTGTCCGACTTCTTTCCCATTTCTTGTTTTTAGAACGCGCTTACCTTGCCGAAAAAAAATTCGCACAGCCGACGCCGCACGCACACATGCATGCGCGACATGCGAAGAAAAATGTTAGTTGTCGCCAGCACTAATTTGTTATTGGCGCGTACTTACCACTATTTAAGTGAGATATATATTTAAGCCTAGAATCTGGCACGTCACTATTTTTGCACAGTTGGTGCTATCACCGGGAAAACTTTTACTTGAATGAATTGATAAATTAATAAATGCGCCTTCGAGTGACGCCGGTACAGCCAGTATGCGAAAGGGCCTCAACAGTGAAAACATCGATATTTTTGTAGCGATGTTTTTGTTACCTAGTTGGACTCAATGTTAGATCAGAACGGTTGAGTTACAGGAATATCGATGGTACTATCGATGTTTTCACAGCTGTACTCAACGCGCGTTATAACAGTCTTTGACTCGCCCGCTTCTCAACACTTTGGTAATCCGAAGACGGTAACACTAAGCAACTAACAAGCGCGAATTTTCTACTTTTTTTTGCATTTGCCAAAAATAAGAATTTGAAACATGCCAAAGATTAAGAAACAAAAGTCCACCTCTTCGGAGAGCGACAGCGGCCCGGAAGACGTAAGCCAGCACGAATTATTATTAAATAGGCGTTACGAACTTATCATTGCAGCGCAATCCACCGGCAAGTAAGAAAGCCAAGGAGACGCCGGCTGCGGAGGGAGCCAAGAAGGGTGCTGCAGGGGGTTCTGGGCCGTGGGTCCTGGAGAAGCTGCGTCAAGTGCGCATCAACGAGTTCCGCGGCCGGAAGATGGTAGACATTCGCGAACATTATGAGAAGAACGGCGAAATTATGCCCGGAAAGAAGGGCATCTCTCTATCAATACAGCAGTGGAAGAAACTTCTTGAAATGGCCGATGAAATAACGCGCGCAGTAGAGAACTAGGTTTAAGATATTAGAGTTAAGGCCCTACACCATGTTAGCAAACATTTAAGTGGGCTAGCTCCACTCACTGAATAAATGTTAATTCAAAATAATGAAAATTCTTAGCAAACTGAGATATCCGCGTTTCCAAAAAGACTTAGTTCCATAATTAGAAATACATTTTATTGAAAATACTTAAATAAAAAAGAATTGAACTACACGAAGTTAACATATTCAGCCATTAAAAGTAGACGCCCAACAAGATACACAAGGTCAAAAGTATGACAAAAGGTAGCCAGGTCTTAAGGACGCCCCCAAAGCCAACGTAGCGCCCGCAGACGAAGAGCCACATGCTCAGGATAAGCATGTTCCAGCCGGTGCTATTCTTGTAGCGCATATTGATAAGTGCGGTCGCCACATGTGAGTGGCAATTGTCGCAGAAGATGTTATGGATTCGAGTGCCGTATAGCACCGACGCCTTCGAAACTGCCTCGTCCCAGGCATAGCTGCCGCCCTCAACAAACTTGGGCTGCAATCGGAGGTATCGGGTGGGTCGACCGAAGGCCATGTCGTCCTCTGAGACGAAATAAGCGCCAGCAAAGTCCCTGATCACGCCGGCTGAGGTGCAGATGCCCATGTGACCGATCATGGGTAGAAGCCAGGTGAGCACGGGTATGGGAGTCCAGACGATGCAATATGGAAAGCGCTGCTCTGCTGGGTTAATAGGGGGCAGCCTTTCCGGGGCACCGGCATTTCCGGATCCAGCTCCCGATCCGCCCATGGTGATTTCCACGTCCTCCTGGTTCTGGTGACTTGGGTTCGTTGTCATTATTATTACACTAAACAAGGTGAAAAATGCGTGTTGTGGGGAAACCACAAACAGTCACTCACTAATTGGCTCTATCCGGGTCGTAAACCCCCGCAAAATCGGTCGCTAACTTTTCCGATTGCGGCCCTTGATAAGCGAAAAACAGACGCTGCAAGAGTATTGCTATAAACAAAGTACAAACACCTGGATATTTTTTAATATAATAACAGTGTTGGAAAACGCTGCCTGGATTCATAGGTTTATCAAACTAGTCTATATTGTTTTTATCCTAATAAATACAAGGTTAAAAATGTTAAAAACCAATACAAAAAATCATTCTGTTTATTTAATTATCAATTTGGCATATTTTAATTTTTTAAGTAACACAGTACATGCATTGTGGTTTATTTTCAGAAAAGCCAGCTGGTCTCACTGAACTGTTTGTTTTTGTTTAGCTGTTGGCGACTGTTTATTGCTTAATATTAACAAACAATTATTAATCGATTGTGACCATGGCACAGGTGTTTATCAATGGAGCAAGAGACGAGACCAATGTGCGGGAGTTCGACAGCTTGGGTAACCGGTGCCGCGTCACTACGTATGCTCTCTAATCTCTTGACATTCAATCCAATCAGATCCCTCTATCCAGGAGCTTATCCACGCAGCCACTGAGGCCAGGAAGTTGGCTTATTGTCCATATAGCAACTTTTCTGTGGGTGCTGCCCTGAGGACCAGCGATGGCACCATTTACTCCGGTTGCAACATAGAAAACGGCGCTTATGCCACCACCATTTGTGCAGAGCGTACGGCCGCGGTTAAGGCTATCAGGTAGGTCAGTGGGTCACTCCCGGACCCAGGAGTGTCACATGTGCCTTACTCAGGGTCATAGGCTATCTTACAAGGGGTTCTGTATATTGATGCTAATTGTAACTATAATTAATGACGATAATACGATTTTTCAAGCTTTTCAATTTCGATCCTACGTATTTCATTTATGTTGTAGTTTTTAAAACATTATAATTTGAAATTCCTGTAAACTATTCTAATATCCTTAATATTTTTAAAATTTAGCGAAGGCAAACGCGACTTTGTGGCCTGTGCGGTTGTGGCCCAACAGGACAATGGCTTCACCACGCCTTGCGGAGTTTGTCGGCAGTTTCTTTCCGAGTTTGTCAATGGCAAGGATATTCCACTGTATGCTGCTAAGCCGAGCAATCTGCCCCTGAGGGTGCTCTGCACCAGCGTGCTCCAACTGCTGCCCAACGGCTTCAGCTTCTTAAACGGCAAATAGCGGGAAAGGAGACGGATCGGGCAGCTGCAAACCATGTGCAATATATAAATTTAGTGTTTTGTTATTTAGCGTAGAACCCACCCCGTGGTCGTCGTTGTTATTTGTTGTTCAATAGCTATCCGAGGCAATCGCATCTGTTTGTGTGTGTTTTCATTGGTGATCGTTTCGCTCCGAGGACGGCTTATCAGCAGCTCTCTCTCGCTCCCGCTCTCTGTCTCTCTGCGTGTGTTGGCTAAATGTTTATTTGTGTCACACCACGGGGAAGGGGGGCGGGGGCTAGTTATTATAGCCAACTTCACGAGTCAGCGTCACTACAAACCGTCCATTTGCCAGCGGACCCGCACAGAGTAAGCACCCAGTCACGCACTCGCCTCGCCTAAAAATATAACAAATTTTAAGAAAATAAGGCGTGCGCTGGCCTCCTCCTCCTCCGCAACTAGCTAAAAATATTAAATATTAATGTCGCATCTCACGGAAAACTTTGCTCGTCCGGAAAAGCCGGAAGAGGTTGTCACCTACGGCAGTCTGGGTAAGTTTCTTGATCTCCAATGAACTTGATCTTGGCAAAACTTAAAAAAAGATTTCAGAGTTATCAAGTGACTTGGATTGATCCTTTCCTGGCTTTCAGATCCTTCTGTTCAGGAACTATTAAGGGCCGCCTTTGCCGTGCGTCAACGCGCATATGTCCCGTATAGTGGGTTCAAAGTAGGCTCTGCCTTTCGGGCCAAGCTCACCGGGCAGATCTTCACCGGCTGCAATGTGGAGAACGCCGCCTTTACGCCCTGCTCCTGTGCCGAGCGAACGGCTCTGACGAAAGCCGTGAGCGAGGGAGCCACTGAGTTTTCCGTTGGCGCTGTCCTGGCCTATGAACCGGACGTGTTTACCACTCCCTGCGGTGTGTGCCGCCAGTTTATCCGGGAGTTTGCCACTGACGATATACCTATCTATATTGCCCAGGCCATTGATGCGAGGATTGGTGACGCCGCAGGCGAGGAGCCGCTGCAGAACGACGATCCCGTTCTGTGCACCTCCATTTTTAATTTGTTGCCGAGCAGTTTTCGCACGTACCGGAAGTAAATGCAGGCTAATTTTAATCGAGGAGGTGGGGGAAAGCCAAGGGAGCTAGGTTCAAGGTTGCCTCAACGCAGCCCCTTGCCAATAGTAATCTACAATGTTAATCTAATCTCTGGAAATAAAGAAAATTACACTACACTACAAAATATACACTGTTTCTTTTATAAAAATATGGTGGGCTAGATGATGACTTGTCATAGATTTATACATATTAATATAATGAAATAAAAACAACCGATAATCCACTTAAAATCTGTAATCTAGAAAGGAGGCGATAGAAAATGAAAGGGTAATAATTTATGACTAAATTATATACTTGTATATATACATACATATGTAAGAAAGTTTCTATTGAATAACGTCACCTCACATATACTCAATATACCTTTTTATTAATAATTTAAAAGGGAATAAATTCGAACTTTATGTGTATTTATAAGAGTTTAAATCTTATAACTATACTTTAGTTGAAAAGATATACAATTTAGGGAAGCTTTTTTAATTTGATTTGGGGATGATAAATAATTGTGCTCAATATCATTAAAATTGATACACATCAAACCAGCGCTCACTTGTAAATATTATTACAGATAGGACGGAATGTGTGTAATCTGATAGTTTTCATCATTATCATTATTTTATAACTTTGGAGAGTATTATAACTACAGTCGGAAGCTTGCAACGCAGTGAAGGAGTAGTTTCCGACCCGACAAATCATATATATTCTTGATAAGTATCAATAACATAAAAATATCCATTTAATGTACATAAATTACACATTTTATGTTTTGTGATCGATTGCTCATTCAAGCTCATGATACTATGGGCAACTGCAAAGGTGTACACAATTCGGCTTCTCGAAATTAGTTTTCTTTTTTGTAATTTTCCATATAGTCTGACAGAATAAAAGGGGAATTCCCGACTAGAGACAAGTGGAGGGCTGGAAAACAACCAATAAATTAATATAAATATCACAAGATATTGGCTAGGAAGTTTCTATTTTTCATCTTAAATTATAAATGTAAACAATTTGTTCTACATTTGAATACCAAAAATGGACTTCCGGAAATACTAGACTACTTTTCCCGGTGTTTCGGCATTCTTTTCTGCTGCGACTCTTCCAGCCCGTCGGCAACATCAGGATTAATGCGAGTCGGAACCTCTTCGAAAAAGGGTTTACCATCACTGGCAATAATCATTTGGGAATAGTTCCGCCTATTAATCCATTAATTATAATTATAATAATAAATTCAAGTTGCAGCTTCAAATTACTTACAGATTATGTTTAAGTCGATCAATTTTATCCAGCAAGGCGGAATTCCGTTCCTCTAGCTTGGAACGGTTTAGGGAACTCCTCTCATTCCGCTCTTCCAGCCGCTTGATGCTGAGCTCCTGGTTCCTCAGTTGCGTGTGCTTGTTCTGGAGGGTTTCGAAAAGGTTTCGAAATTCTTCGTCCCTGGTGGCGAGCTCGTGGTTTATCTGCGGAGCAGGAGGAGCAGGATAAAACCAGGCAGAGCTATCAATGGGATCAATCGGCGATCAACCTTGTTAATGAGCCTCTCCTTCTTCTCCAAGTCTTCCGTCAAATCCTTTTCGGTCTGTTGCAGACTGAGAATTCTGTCGGAGTCCAGTGTCAGCTGCCCCTGCATCCTCTCAACATCCTGTTGCAGCTGAGCTTTACTTTGGCAATGAATTTCAGCATTTGTGTTGGCGTCTTTTAGTTGCCCCTGCAGGTTATTGATCATATCACGAGCCTTCTTAAGCTCGTCCTCGAACGAAGTGCTCCGCTCTAAGTACTTGTTTACCTTACAGGTGGCCTGCTCCAGACCCAGATCTGCATCCTTTAAGCGCAAGTGCATCCGGTCGTATCTTCATGAAGTTTTAAAATTGTATACTATTGCGGATGACTTCATCATAAGTCAAATTCCATTTGCACTTACTCATCCTTGGCAGTCAACAGCTCGGATTTCAGTTGTTCCATGGCCGCGTCCTTGGCTGTTTGGACTGCCTTGCTCTCGGCCAAACGAAGTGCCTGCTCGGACACCAGATTCTGGTTCTGCACCAGTTTCATCTCCAGTTCGATTATGGAGCGATTACGTTTGTCCAGCTCGTCGGCCAACTGAGTTTCAAAGGATAAACTTGCTAGTAGGATAAAAGAGATTATTTAGTGCTCGAGTCATCCGAGTTGAGTACCATTATTAAAGAAGGCTAGCACTTACTTGTGGGAGCCAGTTCGGATTTGCGTCCTGGGCTCGTTGGGGGTGAGCTTTTTATGTTCTGTTTTGAAGAAAGTTCCGGCTCCATATTGCGAATTTGCTTCCCTTTAGGTTTCGCCGGGTCGGGTCGTCGGGCCGGCGAAGTGATTTGTTTTTTTGTATTCGTTAAGTTGCCGGGTCTTTTGGATGCAAAATCCTGATTCTTTCTTGTCAGCGATTTGTTTGCTGTAAGTCCTGGTGGCTGCGCAGGGACGGGACTTGCAGAGGCTTGCTTCTAAGGAATATAGAGTCTTATTCAGTAAGGCCTCTTAAGAATCACTCACACCGTTCCCGAACTCTACTCACTGAGGATACCTGTCCGGTTGATTTCAAGCCTGAACCACGACTTGTGGAAACACTTCCGCAATTTCTCTTCACCGAGGATACGGGTTCGCTGGATTTCGGAAGAGGTCCTTTGGCCTGCAGGGGGTCGGGATTTCTGGAAGCATTCCTGCTAACAGAGGGCACAGGTTTGGTAGCATTTGGTCCTCGTGACTGTAATCGGCTGACACCTGCAGAGGCTGGATCCTGCAGAGTACAAAATATAATTCATAATATAAGACTTCTTAAAACAAACCATTGCTACTTACCGTATTTACAGGTACGCTGGACTTGGGTCTTCGTATATAACTTGGACTTGTAGACAGGCTTCCGCGAGTCCTGACTGCCGAGGAAACAGATTCGCTGGCCTTGGAAATAGGTCGTCGATTCTGAAAGATGTCCGGACTTGTAGGAGTTCGACTCTGGGGAATATAAAATATAAGTAAAGGTTACCTCCTCTTATATTTATGCCCACCGAAAGAAAAGGTCCTTGCGTCTGTATGAGGCCGGGATATCTGAAACCACTCTCCCTATTCCTGCTTCCCGAGGATAAAGGTTCGGTAATCTTGCGTTCTTGTGCCTGTACGGGGCTGGGACTTTCACATGGCTGACTCTAAAAAAAGGTAAAATATAAAAATATACAAATCCACTCCCTTTTAGGATTCCTGCTCACTGTGTCTATTGGATTGTTAGCATTCAGTCCTGGTGTCTGTACTGGGCCGGGGCTTGTAGAAGCACTTCCCCGAATTCTACTCTCTGAGAATATAGGTATTTTGGTCTTAGCAGCGGATCCTCGACTGGGACTTGCGGAGGCTTCATCCTGTGGAATATATAATTTTTTAAATTATATCCATCCGCCTCACAGATTTCTACCCACCGATAAAATAGATCCCGGCTTTTGTGCGGGACCTGGATTTCTGGAAGCACTCCCCTGATTTCCATTCCCCGAGAAGACAGGTATTTTAGTTTTAGGAAGGGGTCCTCGAATCTGTGAGGGGCGGCGATTTCCAGATACTTCAGCCTAATGAATGTAAATTATAATCAAGAATACCCTCTTAAGAAGCAGTCCTCTCTCAGATTTATACCCACCGAATATAAAAGTTCTGCGGCATTAGGAAGAGATCCCCGAGCCTGAATGGGGTCGCAGTTTGCTGAGGGGCGATCCTGCAGAGTACAATATATGAGGAATATATGAACTAGGTTAATTTACAATTATACTCACCAAGAACCCAGGTAACGCCATGGGACTTGTGGAAGCTTGATCCAAAGATTCAGGTTCGTTGGTCTTAGTCTGCAAGTTGCCCCGACTTATAGAGGTTCGAGCCTGGGGACTATATGTATAATATTTTACTCTTAAGAATCAGTTGCTTTACTTACTGAAAGAGGATTTTTAGCCCTTGAAAAAGGTCCTTGAGTTCGTAATGGACCGATACTTGTGGTAGATCCTCGCGAGACTTTGAACACAGCTGTCTTGTTGTCTAAGATTATGATCAATGTAATGAATCCTTCTGCTGAAGTCATTAAAGGATTTCAACTTACTTGGAGGCTTGTTCATTTTCTCTTAGATCCGGAAGTCGATCGAAATTAAAACAAGGACAACGAAAACGAAAAATTTCTATAAAAACAAATTTTAAAACCAATAGGTAAGAAATCTTGGGAAAAATTTTAAATATATATTTTTAACTATTTAGGAAATAGGGGTATTAACTCTTGTGAGTTTGAAGATGTACTGAAGTCCAAATCATAGCCGTGTGTGTACAAATACAATAACCAAATGACATTGTAATGAAAAGTCACACAGGAAAAACCCCCTACTTCTAAAAAAAATGTTACACACATAACCTACTGCATGGTTGACGAACAAGATGTGACATTACTCTATATTTTATTATCAGTGGTACAGCTTTCGTTCAATAAAATTCAGTACAGATTTTAGACTACAAAAATACACACATAATTTTAACACAAATTTTTAGTGAAAAAAAAGAAAATGGCCGAAAAGCGAAAGCTACTTCAGCGTTACATGGCGTGTCTTAACGAGCTGCAGGACGAGTTGAAGCGCAAAGAGCTTGAGAAGCAGATGAGGGAACTCGAAATGCTGCAGAACGAACTGGCGCGACGACAGAAGCGAGAGAACGAAGACGCCTCCGCCGGAGGCCTCAGCAAGGAGCAGCGGCGGAAGGTGCTCCGCAAGTTGCTCGGCTCCTATATGCAGAGGCTGGATGGATTGATGTCTGAATTGGAACGCCGCGAGTCGCGGCTTAACGGTGAGAAGGGTCGCCCATCCGAGTCCGAGAATCTGCCACATCCTCCGATGCTAGAGGAGTATACGGTGGCATTCTCCGAGGTCGGTGAGTAGTTGAATGTGGGTAGCCGAGTGTTCTTTCAGTCCTTCACTTTTGTTTTTTAAGATGAGAGTGGCCGAGAGCTCCTGGAGGCCGCCTTGAGCGCCCGCAGGAGCGCCTATGTCCCTTACAGCAAGTTTAAAGTGGGTGCCGCCTTCCGTGCCAAGGGCGGCAGGATTTTCACGGGCTGCAACATCGAGAATGTGGCCTTTACTCCGGGCAACTGCGCGGAGCGATGTGCTCTGGCCAAGGGCATTAGCGAGGGTGAAATGAAGTACACGGAAGGTGCTGTGGTGGCCTATCACCCGGAGAGTTTTACTACGCCCTGCGGCGTGTGCCGCCAGTTTATCCGTGAGTTTGCCTACAAAGATTTCCCCATCTACATTGCCAAGGCCCCGCCGCCGGAGATGGAGTGTAGTATTCCGGCTATCCAGGACACTGATGAGGTGCTGGTCACATCGGCGTATAACCTCCTGCCTCATAGTTTTACCACATTCGTGTAAACTTGGCGATGAACTTTCTATGCCAAAGGATCCTTTAATCATTCTGGATACCACACACGGACTTTAAATAAATTTTCGGCATCTCAAAACAGGTACCTTTTTTCTTAAATTCTCTTAGGTAAAACCATAAAATCTTACGTTTTATTTAACATAAATTTCGTTGAGGAAATAATAGATGTTTAGAAGGAATGAGCTCTAAACGTAAGTAACGACCGGTTCTCCCGATCCGTATATGGCGTATTCGCTTTTCTTGGCAAACGGCACGACATCCGCATGCTCCAACACGGGCCTCACGTTTGGATCGAACTCAACTAGTCGGGTCTGCGGATCCGTGTAGTTGGCCTGCACTTCCGAGACCATCCCCGAATGCGGTACACGCTTGGTCTGATTCTGGAACTCGCAGCGACGCTTCGGGCAGAGCTTTGAGGGAAAATCATCGCACATATTGGCATCCGGTTCCCGCGATACCTTGCGCGAGGGCATCATGTTCTCCGACCAATTCCAGAAGGTTAAATTGTCATGGGCTCCCACTCCACCGGCTATTTTTTCCGGACTTAGTCGCACATACGACAGATTGTAGGTGGTTGCAGAGGGATCCAAGTACTTGCTATAGCCCTCCTCAGAACGATCGATAACTATCTTAGTGGCTTTAACTGGCGTGGGCATGGCAACAGGCACAACCTCAGGCTCCTCGGGCATTTCCTTGAGCACATAGGTGTCATGGGTAACACTCGAGATGGGCTTTATTCTGCGCTTCACAAAACGTAGCTGTCCCTGCTCGAAGGGCTTCATGTACTGGGTCTTCATGTTGAGCGAGGGATTCTTCAGGGCATTCGGATTGCCATACTGGAAATGGGTTAGAAAATCCATTATGGGAGTATTGGGATCCTTTTTTGGTGGTCCATTCTCTCACCTGCCACACATAATTGGCCATGCACTCAGAATTGAGCTTCTCCGACAGCAACGGATCACTCACATAGAGGTCTTTGTCGGCAAACTTGACATTCAGCTTGTTTCCCATTCTGAGATCGGTGAGGTGGTGATGACCGCGATACGTAGAGGTTCGCCAATCGGTATGCTTGGCGCTGGCAGGGCGCTTGTAATCAAAGCAGCCAAAATCATCCATGGTTAAAAGATTTTTAAACTTAAAGGGAACAGGAGTAAGTCTGAAACAACGCTACTGTAAGACTGTCTCCTTGGTATACTAAATTTGGGGAACGCTATTTGTAGTTGCCTGGATACCGTGTTCGATGCAAAGTTAGTATATTCTGTTGGTTGATAACAAACAGCTCGCCTTCTGTACAATATTTTTTCATTTATTCACATTTTGATATATGTTTTATAGGTAATGTTTCAGAGAGAGGAATGCTTGTTTCACAAATATATAAAAGCGCTCTGTGTTCACAAAAAACAAATGATTATTTTTGTTACAATACAAATACGTGTGTGTGGGGCTAAGATAATAAATGTTGCTTCAATGGCAATAATAATAAACTGTTTGCTTAGCAATTAAACAATTGATTTACTTCCGTCTCCCGGACTCATCCATTTACCCCCTCTGTATCCTCAACCAGCTCATCCTCTCAGGCAATCTCCTTCAGCGCCAGCAGCGATTGGCGTAGATATTCATACTGGGTCTTGGCATGCTTAATCTCTAGCTCTGAGAGTTCAACGAGGCTGTAATTTAGCAAGGCATAACATATAGTATCCTCTCTCTTTTTGATACTTTTATAACATGGTCAATGGTGAAGCTCATTAAAGAGAGCTGGGTAGGGTTCGCAGGTGGACTCACCTCTTCTTGAAAGCCGCCACTCGTCGATTGCGAAAACCGATTAGCTCCTCTTTGCCGCAAGCTGACATCGATTCGAACTTTTCACAGGCCTCCGCCTGGGCAGTCTCAGCCTAAAGTAGGAACCAAAGAGATTAGTAAGATTCTGGGAAAGGCAGTAAATAATAAGGGCATGCTAGAGCGTGTGAATACTGATTGAGGGCATGCAGCTGTTTACATCTACTAAACCGACGATTAATAAACCTTAAAATGCCAAATACCTCTTGCACCTCCAGGGGCTGCCGAAACAGAACACGCACAAACACGCACGCACACACATTGAGAGTGAGGGGTCAGAGGGACAGGCATAGCAGAGAGCGAAGAGCAGAGCAATGTGAGGTAGTTGAGAAAAAAATAGTTAATAGTTTGGTTTGTAATTAGTGAAGCGTTAGAATTGATTGCCCCGCTGAAAGCACTTTTTTGAAAAGGGGAAAAACGTCTCTTAAGGTTTTTGGACACAGAAGCTCATCCCGAATCTTACCGCATGCACATCCTTGTTTTTGGAACGGGCCTTCTCCAGATTACGATTGGCCGTCTCATAGGCAGCCAAACATCGCAGTCGTCGGATTAGCAATGCCTTGGCAGCATCACTATCCCGCTGATAATAGCGCAAAGTGTCACCCAGTTTGAGATCCTGATCGCTGGCCACTCGAGTCTCCAGATTCTGCAAGAACATAAATCAATAAAGCATTGACAAAACTCTATCGGTTAACCCACCTTAATTCTCTCAAATATCTCCGCCGTCTTGGCCACAAATGTCTCCATATTGCCCTTCTCGGTGGTCGAGAGCTGGGTCAAAGCATTCGATATCTTCTGATGGCTATCGCCCACATCCTTGTGCCGCTGCGTCATCTTCTCTGTTCGGATCGCTGCCTCACGCAAATGTCCGTGATATTCGGTGAGGAATTGCAGCTCATTCTCAAAGAAATCATTTACATCTCGCACTGTGGCGCTGAGCAGAATCTCGTCTGTGGTCTTGCCCAGAGACTTTACAAAGCCACCGAAAATGGCCATCTTCTTGCGTGGCTTGGCGCACAAATCCTGATCGTACTCAAGGAATACCTTGAGATGCTGGTCCACGCGAAAGACGGGATGACTGGCCAGTCGACGAAGAAACACTTCGTGCATAGCTACAGTTTTTTTGAAGGTGGCAAGGTATTCGCTGGGAAATGGAAAAAGAATATTTATTATTTATTGTTTTGCATATTTTTTTTTTTTAGTTTGGGTCACTTACGCCTCCAGCTCCGACTTCATCTTCTTGAATTCCTCTTTGGTCATGTTCCCTTCGCCCTCGCCTAAACGCTGTAGCTTTTCGCGAGACGCATCAAAGTCCGGACGTGGCGGACAGGGTGGTATCTAGTAAGGATATCAGATCAGTATCAGTATCATAAATTAGGGTTAATAAGTTGGAGACTCACAATATAGCCGGCATAGTCTTCGTTCTCCTCGATGCGGTCGTGCAGCCAGACAAACTCCTCGTGCTGTCGCACTACATTATTGTCCTTTTTCGCAAAGCCCGGCAGCGTGGTGCGCGTGTGTACTGTAAACTTGACCTTTTCCTTTTCGCTCAGTGCATCGGATATCTCCACATGGAGCGCGTTCTCGCCCAGGGCGACGGGAGCGCCAGGCGTGGCCGGTGCGGATGAGGAGCTGTCCGGCGATGTGGCAGATCCACTGCCATTTGTGGCAGCTGCAGGTGCCGCAGCTGCTGTTTCGGCCAGAGGATTCGCCAGCGGGTTCGTTGGCGAGACTATTTCCATGGTGGCGCCATTGCTGTTGGCCGCAGACGGACTGTTCAGCAGGTTTGAGTCATCCGTGCCGTCCTGCGAGTGCAATAAACACATCAATTCACACTCTAATTACGCCCATTTTCTGGTGATAAGACTTTTCTTTGTGTACGCGGCGAGAGGCGTCACTTGGACGGCTCAGCTAGTAGCTCTCAATGCAAACAATTCAGGGTTTTAATAACTTCCCTATGGGGGAATATGGCTTGGCTTGCATTTGTACATACCATCATCTTGTTGGTGGGCTTATATTCCTCAATTAGAACTCCCTTTAGTGGAATTTAACAAATCAACAAACTTTTTCTTTCTCTGCGACTTTTGCGGCTTATCGATATATTCTGGTGATGGTACGTGAGTCGATATTGTAGTATTGTGAAATTTGAATTTATTGCACACACACTGTCTATCTATTTTTATATAATTAATAAATTTTTTTAGTAATTTTTTTATGTTATTAACGATTATCTTTTCTTTTCTATACATACTTGTGATTGGGATACTGAAGTATTGGATGTATCTACCGCATGACTATCGACTAAGCTAATTGGAGCGCCATCTCTACAACTAGTAATTTTAGCAAGTGGGCAGTCCGCCCGTTAGAAATTTGAAATTTATTTTAATGTAAGCAAATTGCTTGTGTTGCCTTATGAAGTGGACAAGACTGCAGTGCCTGCTGCAAGTCCTCCTCCGCTGGGTAAGGAGAATCAAAGTCTATGGAGGCATTAATCTAAGTGCAGAAAAAAGGGATTATTGTAGGTTATCTAGTTCTTAGCTTTCACGGAATATTTTCTATTTATGTTTCAAGTCAACTTTTTTACTTAAAATAAATAAAACAAATAAAGAAACACCCATTGAATAGCCTAACATTATTTATTTATGTGAAGATTTACATTAAATAATTCGTTTGTGTAAGCTTTTGAGATTTAGAAAAATTGGTTAAACCTTTTTAAATATATTAGGAACTTGAGTTTTTTAATATCAGCTGGCCTTAAACCAAAACGTCATATCTGATTTATTTAAACTAAATTTAGTTTGAATAAAAAACCCAAAACCAAACCTAAGAAAAAATGTCTAAACTAAACAAGTCGGAAAAACGAACCCGGCAAAGGGGCAAGAACTTTTCGCCATCCGAGGAGGATATGCTACTCAGTCTGCTGAAGCCCTACAAACCCATTATCGATAACAAAAAATCCGACGCTTTGACCTGCCAGATGAAGAAGGATGCCTGGGAGCAGTTGGCCCAGGAGTTCAACGACCAAACCGGCATGCACCGCTCTTGGCGGACCCTCAAGGACAAGTACAAGAATATGAATACCAAGATAAAGACGGAGGGCAAACGGTTGGTTGATCACTCCATCAGTCAGTTGGAAGACTTTGAACTATCAGCCAGTAGTTGTGTGTCGGTAGTGTATGAGGAGGTCGGAGAGGTGCATGAGGAGCAGGAGAAGGAGACTAATAAATGTGAGTTAAGTGTTAAAACTGATTCCTTTTTTCGATATTATATAAACGTAAGAATCATAAAAGATTCCCAGAGTATGGAAATCTAATAACCTAATCAAAACTAATATAGGAAATCTTTCCGAAAAATTATAATTTAAAAATTTCGATATATATATATATAATATTTAAATTTTAATACCCATAACTTCAGTCAGAAGCTTGCACCGCAGTGAAGGAGTCATTTCCGACCCTATAAATCATATATATTCTTGATCAGCATCAACAGGCGAATCTTTCTAGCTACATATATCCGGCCAAAAACAATTTTTTCAGAAATTTCTTATTTTTTTATCAGCATCAAAAGCCGAATATATTTAGCCACATGTAGTTAAAAACAAATAAAATTTGTTTTTTTTTCGATTTTTGCAAAAAAAAAGATAATGGGTTAAAATTGTGAAAACTTGATAAGAAATTTAATTTTTGTAAATTTTAAATTGAGAATGCAGAATTATAAACCTATTAAAAAGTAACACCGAACATGTTTCCGAATTGAAAATAATTCTTTTTTTGGTTTAGTTATGACATTTGAAAAAACATTAATTTACTCAATAAGTTTTCTTCTCGATATACATACAAACCGTTTACCTCTCATATCTTTATTTATATTTCCAACAGGTATTGAAGAACCAATGGATGTTAAACCCGAAAATAATGAAGAGGTTTTTCTCTAAATTTAATCATAAGTGAATCTCTTTTGCAAGCTTTAAATTTATTTTAGAATCCTTGCCAGGAGGACGTTCCGATTGAATTTCCAAAGGCTAACCAATCTCCGCCTTCACCAGATATTTCGCCGTCCAACAACAGCGAGCGTTCACTGGAGGCTAATAGAATTGAGCTTTTTCGTCTCCAGCAGAGATTCTATAACAATGAGAACAAGAGACATTGCTTGGAGCTAAAGAATCTTAAGCTGAAAAAACAAATTTTGGAACTTGAACTTGAGGAGCATCAGCGTAAGCGCATGAAGTTCATCAAAGAAAGCACAACAAGTTGATGGCACTCGACCTCGATTAATGTTAATGTTGATTTACGATACCCATTGTATTTGAGTATATACACAGTTCAAGACATTCATTTACATAGATCAAAATACACTTAGAGCTACACTAAACCTAAATGTGAAATGGCAATAATAAGTATATAACATGGAGAGTGTGAGTGTGGTGGGCCTTAAAGCTATATCAGAATCTGGACAATGCCACTAAGTAGTATTGTTTCTCTAAAGAAACCTCACACAAATCTGTAGGAATTGTAAAAGGGGAATTAATAAAATTTTTAAATAGGTATACATGAATAATTTATAATTTTAATTTCCCAATTTACTCTCCTCAATTCCCCTTAAAAATTCCAACTAATCCAGTTAAGATTTCTCGATCTAAACTAATGGCTCCGGAACATCCTTAATACCTTCGCTGCTCCTTCTCGTTGACGGCAGACAGTGGCTGATAGCTGGGATTCGAGAAGGCTTCCGTTGGGGCTCCTCCCGTTGCTGCTGACGCTTTATTTGGGAGATTTTTCCGCGGCGGTTTCACATTCACATAGTTCTCCGCCGACGATTCGCCATTGAGTTTCGTCTCCACATGATGGCGGGGCGAGGGTGTGGGCGTGGCATAGTGCTGCTTCAGGGCCTGATTGAATCGCCTCGCTTGCTCGGGACTGCGGCGTTCGCCCTCCTCGTCCTCATCCGACCCCGTCGAGCGGCGATGCAGCATGGGTATCTCCTCGGGCGCCTGGTCCGCCGCATCCAACGTGGGCAGACCGTTTTTCTTGTTGCGGAGGGGTTTGCTGGCCCCGCTTATGTTCATATTGTTGCTCAGCGTCGGCGACTGGCGGGCTCCTGGTGGGAAATTGAAAGTGGTTGTGTCGCTAGAGAAGTCCGCAAACTCGCTGGCCTCCCCCTCGAGGCGCGTGGGTGAGAATATGGCGGTGGCCGGTGGCGGTGGTGCATCGGAGTCCGGACTCATGGCCATGTAGTCATCCGGCAGCTCCTCGATGCCTGTGTTAGTGGTGTGGTGTGCCATGGTGCATGGATGCATGTGTGGGGGTGAGTGTGCTTAGTTAGTAGCCTGATCCATGGCCAGCAATGGGTTATATATGCATGATACTCACGTATATCGGGTACTATGTGCCCATTAACGTAGCGCGGAGCCGAGGGGGCCAGCTCATCGGGAGAGCCCATCAGGGCCAGGTAGTCCGTTTGCTGGTTCTTCATGTACTCCATGTTGCTCTGCAGATAGGGGTTATTCAGGTCCAAGTAGTGCTGTGGAGCAGAGGGAATTCTTCGTTAAGATTCTGAGGAATAAAATCAGAGAGGCAACTCTTACATTGGCCACATCCTCGCCCAGCATGGTGGCAAATCGCTTCTCCAGCTCGTTGAACAAGGGTCGGCTCTCGGGACTAAAAAGGGGAATTATATATTAAAATTCAGATCTTTAGGATCCAGGCAAACACTTACTTCTTCCGCCAGCACTCCAGCATAATGTCGTAGAGCTCCTGATTGGCATATGGTGGCTTCTCCATGCGATAGCCATCGTTCAGCTTGTTGAACAGCTCCTGATTGGGATCTATGCCAGGATATGGCACCTTCGCCAGCGAAAACATCTCCCACAGGACAATACCAAAGGACCAAACATCGCTGTACGTGCTGAACACATGATCGCTGAGGGACTCCAGCGCCAGCCACTTAATCGGCAGTTTGCCACTCTCTAAAATTAAATTAAAAATTAAATAAAAATGTATATGGATAAAAAATGAACTGATAAATGTCCTTACCCGACTTCTTGTAGTTATCGCCCCGATACATGGAACGCGCCAGACCAAAATCACAAATCTTCACGACGTTGTCCTCGCACAGGAGTATATTTCTGGCCGCCAGATCGCCGTGCAATACCTTCTTGGAGGACAGATAATCCATACCCCGGGCCACTTGGAAGGCCCAGCTAACAAGATCAACAGTGGTCACAGACATAGCTTCCGTGGAGTCTGTCTTGTAGTTGGAGCGCCAGGCTGGTTGAACCGAGTTGTTGGACATGATTTGGTCGTCTGTGGATAGTTAATTTGGTCAGGTAATAGAGACACCTCAAGACTCCATCAATCTTAAGCAGAAACTCACCCTCCGGCACGGTGGTCATCACGGTATTACAGGTGTCCATTTGTCGGTCGTAACTATAGGTGGCGGACCCGGATCCTGGTCGTCCAGCACGGGTGCCCGATCGGGGGTCGTTGTCGGAATTTCTGCGATGATGAGGCGGCGGTTGGGTGTTATTGTTGTACGAGGAGTTCAGTTGGTTCATGTACGAGTGGAGCGGGAACCCGACATTAGCATACTTCAAGCCACCACCGTTAGCATCGCTGTTAATTGGGGTTTAGTCGCCGCGCCCACACAGACAAAGAGGAGGAGACACACAAGGAGGAGACCACAACCAGGAGCGGGAGATCACAGGCACACGTGGTGTGAGATGCACAGGCAACAAGTGCGCATACAGATACATTCAGAGTGTTTGTTTTTTGTGTGTGTTGTGGAGTTTTGTTGTAAGATTTGTTGATTAGATCGTGTTGAGTGTAGTTTGTTGGTTAGTCGAGGGTTAGTAAGGATCACCGAAACCAGAAACGGAACAAGATCAGCGTTAGTCGGCAGTTAGGGTAGGGTTAACTTAGGGTTAGTTAACACTGGGTTAAGAGAGTAGGAAGTAAAGTTGAAACGACTTACCGGTGCAGGTCAAAGTTTTCGGAAAAGCGTTGCGTCATGATATTGGGATCAATATGGTCGGTCTCTGGACTGATCTGATTGATAAAGCACTTTCTGTTCCTCAGCAGGAAGTTCTGAATATTACCAAAGCGACAGTACTCCACAATAACCATGAGTTCACCTTTGGGATAGATGATTTAAATATATAGTATTCTTGGTGCAACAAAATGTCAAGAAACTTACAATCTATTTTTTAAATATTCCATTATAATTGAAAATAACTTTGAACAGTAAGTATCTATGACCAGTAAGTATGTATGATCAGTAAATAACTTTGAACACTAATAAACAATGACTTGCATCTTTTGTAACACAACACTTCGCTGGGACATGGCCGGCAGAAGTAACTTCGTTCCGGAGATGATAGAACTAGTTGAGAATCATATACATAGATGTGCGAGATTTGTTTTGTAACAAATTTAAGCTATTTGAATGAAACCATGGGAGTTATTCTTCTATATTATTTTACTAGAATATAATTCGAACCATGGCGGATCGGTGGACTATATATATACATATATATAGCTGACATAGAAACAATCGGACGATTTTTAGAACTATGATCAGTAATTAACTATGACCAGTAATTAAATATGTTCAGCAAGTAGCTATGAGCAGTAAGAAACTCTAAACAGTAAGTATCTGTTACCAGTAAGTATCTATGACCAATAAGTAGCTCTGAACAGTAAGTATCTATAACAAGTAAGTATCTATGACAATTAAGGATCTATGACCAGTTAGTTTGTATGATGAGTTATTAACTTTGAACACTAATAAACAATGACTTGCATCTTTTGTAACACAACACTTCGCTGGGACATGGCCGGCAGAAGTAACTTCGTTCCGGAGATGATAGAACTAGTTGAGAATCATATACATAGATGTGCGAGATTTGTTTTGTAACAAATTTAAGCTATTTGAATGAAACCATGGGAGTTATTCTTCTATATTATTTTACTAGAATATAATTCGAACCATGGCGGATCGGTGGACTATATATATAGATATATATAGCTGACATAGAAACAATCGGACGATTTATAGAACTATGATCAGTAATTATTTATGACCAGTAATTAAATATGATCAGCAAGTAGCTATGAGCAGTAAGAAACTCTGAACAGTAAATATCTATGACCAGTAAGTATCTATGACAATTAAGTATCTATGACCAGTTAGTATGTATGATCAGTAAATAACTTTGAACACTAATAAACAATGACTTGCAACTTTTGTAACAACACTTCGCTGAGGCATGGCCGGCGGAAGTAACTTCGTTCCGGAGAAGTTAGAACTAGTTGAGAATCATATGCACAGATGTGCGAGATTTGTTTTGGAACAAATTTAAGCTATTTGAATGAAACTATTCAGTTCTTCTTCTATATAAGTTTACTAGTGTATAAGTCGGAGCATGGCGAATCGGTGGACTATATATATACATATATATATAGCTGGTATAGGAACTATCGGACGATTTATAGAACTATGATCAGTAATTAAATATGACCAGTAATTAAATATGACCAGCAAGTAACTATGATCAGTAAGTAACTCTTAACAATAAGTATCTATGACTAGGAAATATCTATGACAATCTATGACAATTAAGTATCTATGATCAGTAATTAACTTTGAACACTAATAAACAATGACTTGCAACTTTTGTAACACAACACATATCTGAGACTTGGCCGGCAGAAGTCACTTCGTTACGGGGATGTTAGAACTAGTTGAGAATCATATACACAGATTAGCGAGATTTGTTTTGGAACAAATTTAAGCTATTTGAATGAAACCATGGAGTTATCTTCTATATAATTTCACAAGTACATAATTCGGAGCTTGGCGAATCGGTGGACTATAAATATACATATATGTACATATATTTAGCTGCCTTAGGAACGATCGGAAAATTTTAAGAAAAAATATTATAGCCCGTTTTCAACAGATTTTCATCAAATTTAATATATAGCCATTATATATGTATCAAGAATTTTGTGTAAAATTATATGAAAGTCGGCGTTCCGAAGCTTCCTTTCTTGTTAAACTTTAATTTGTCAAAAATTATTTCATATTATGGATTCAAAGGATGGGAATATTTTAAGCTTAGATTATATATATATATGTTTATATGAATGATGTAAGTTATTTTCTTGTTTTTAATATACATTTTTTTGCACTCACGCTTTGCTATATTTTTGGTAACAGCTCCCAGCAGATTCACCACGTTCAGATGCTGACCCAAATGGACCATAATCTTCAACTCAGACACCAAGGCTCGCATCACTTCGTTGTCCGCCGTCCGTTTGACCATCTTAACGGCTACCGTTGTGGTCGGCTCCTCCTTTCGTATACCCTTGGCCTCACCCTTGAGCACTACGCCAAATGCTCCGGCTCCCAGCTGCTTGCCCAGCTTCAGGTTATCTCGCGGGAACTCGAACTCCCGGTTGTAGGGCAGTAGTTCCGCCTGCTCGTCCAGGGTGAGATCGGGATTAATGTGTCCCACTGCTCCCTCCTCGAAGTTGGCCAGCCCAGCGGCCTTCAATGCCAGATGTCTCTTGTGCTCCTTGTGGTAGCGAACGGCCAGGAAGGCGCACAGGCTTATCAGGAGAAGGAACAGCATAACACCAAACCAAATCCAGCCCTTGCTAATGCCAGGCAGATCTGGAGATCGATAAAAATCTGTTAAATAATCCATAAAAATCGAAATGGAAAAAGAAACTCACTGGATAGAACCACTGTGATGGAGTTTTCGATGCTGCCCAATCGATTCTCTACAAGACACCGGTATACACCCTCGTCCCCAGGATACAGGTGAGTGATCAGCAGCTTGGTGTCACCCTCAGGGAAGTGCAAGAGATTCGTCTCAACCAGCTCTCGGCCATCCTTGAACCACCGAACGGTGGCCAATGGAACCGCCTCGGAGCGGCACACCAGCTCCAAGGATTGGCTTAGGTTTCGTTCCATTTTCGAATGGGTATTCAGGTTGGTGTACTTCCATTGCGGCGCCCGGGGATCGTGGACGAAGACGTTGATCTCCCGGCTGGCGTAGTCCGCGGAATTCATGATGTGGTAAGCACGACACTCGTACGTGCCCCGATCCTCATCCATTATGGAACTGAAACGCACAGTGCTCTTGTAGGAATACTCCGTTTTGCTGTTTTCAATCGTGACACCTGCCCATATGAAAATATGTAAGAAAAACATTAGGATCAATCCGTGGAGAAATCTTACGTTCATCCGCCTCCAGTTCGACGCCATTATGAAGCCACCTGAGGTTGTCATCGAAGTGGTAAGCCAGTGCCTCGCAGGTGAAGTTCTCCTCATCACCCTTGGCGATCTTTCGCTGCTCATCCAGTCCGTATATGGTCATATTCTCGGCAATGTCGCCCAGAAGGACATGTGCCTTGGTCAGCGATCGCCGCTCCTTGCCGTCTACCAGATTCTGGGCAATGCAGGTCAAGATGCCCGGCTCGGTGGGCCTGAAGGACACCTCAATGACACGCTCAATGCTCAGTTTTCCTGGCCTCGGATTGGTTTGGAACTGTGGTAGGTACACAAAGTGGGTTTAACTCAGGAGTAAATCGGAATCGGAATTTCAAACAAAGATTATACCTGATATTGCTCCTGGATGTTGGGTGACTGCAGTAGACGACACACAGAAAAAGGCAATGAAATATGTTTAAGAAGACGAAAGACACATGTTTAACTATTAACTAACTAACGTTTGAACAATTAAACATACCCCTCTACCCATATCTAATAGGGAACATGAGTTATTTGATATGGAATACATATACAATGATTGATGAAAGATTTTAGGAAATAACACCTTAATTGTGGTACATTAAAATAATAATAAAAACAAACCGAAAAGAGTATAAAAATAGCATCTCTGAACTTACGCTAAAGTTCTGGTTAAGCACCGAGCACGTGGGCCATCGCGGGTCCAGACTGCAGGGTCGGAAGAAGAAGGTAACGATGGCCGGCGGATAGGCCCGTACTGTGCACTCCAGCCGCGCCACACTGCCCACTTGGACATAGACATCCGGCATGCTGAGCGCCGGGCCATCGATCACACTGACATTGTAGGGCCGTTCCACGGTCTGGATGGTATTGGTGCCCCGCAGGATGTAGGTGCCACTGTCCTCCAGTTGGGCATTGAGCACCTGCAGCGTGGTGCTGCGCTCGGTGGATATGATCTTGAAGTTGTGCTCCGTCTGCCACACTTCGGTGCCGTCCGGCTTTAGCCAGCTGAAGCTGGGCTCGGGGAAGCCCTCAAAGGTGGCCGTCATCTGGATGGTCTTGTTGGCGAACTCCCGAACATCGTAGTGATTCGAGGGCTCGTTCACATTCAGGTAGGTCTCATTGGGCGCTGGAGGGATCAGGGATCATCAGAAGTTGGAACTAGCTAGATTGAGAGTAGCCCAAAGCTTCTAGACTTACCCAGTACTTTGATCTTGTAGGAAACGATCTGGGGCTTGTTGTTATTGGCCTCGGTGACGACGCACTTGTAGAGTCCAGTGTCCGTTGGCTGGGCATTCGTCACGGTCAAGGTGCTCCTGCCCAGGTGGTGGGTGCTGTTCTTAAACTTGTCATCAAACTGGGCTGTGGTAATAGTGACGCGACTCTGTGGAAGAGAATCCCAAGGATTTAGTTGACCTTCCTGTAAGACCTGAAACTAACTGACCTTATCCCGGGGTGGCGTTATCCACTCCATGCTGTAGCTGAGCAGCTCAATGGTGGAGGACTGCTCGCAGACTAATGTGAAGTTGCCGTGGAGGAAGACATGGTTCCTGGCCCTCGACTTGATCTCGGGCTTGGGAAGGGGCTTGTCCGCCTCTGTTGCGTTGGTAGAGAGTTTAGCATTATTAGAGGATACCCTTCGCAAAGGCCGGGGACTGGCAAGCAATGTTTCTACAGCTTCTCATGCAGATGGATGGATGGGGTTAGACATAGACGAGGACACACATTTGTTAACGTTTCTACAGTACACTTAGGGGTAGGTGGTTAGTCGGGTAAGTAGTAAAGCATTAACTTAAGTTAAAGTAACCAGGGTTAACCAAGTTAAGTCAGTCCAAAACCAAAGAAATTCGTAACACAAAGCGCAAAATAAAGCGATGCAAAGGAGGACGCAACCACAACACAACACGGCCAAACGATAACACAAACACAAGGACAACAGGCAGGACGACAACACTTACGCCCTGGCCTGGGTGAGGGTGACGATGGCATCGGAGCCAGCCGGGCTGGACTTCGCTTGATCCGATCCTGGGCAGTGCCATCACCAGAGACTAGAGCCACTTCACCCTGAGTTTGGTTAGTAATGCTAGCGAGGACATCATCGACCCCATCGTCATACTCTAACCCTATGTTAGTCAAGGCCCCCCAGGAGGCGGTGGTGGGCCGTTGGTACTGAGATTATCCAATCCGGATGCTGGAGGTGTTAGCAGATTAAGACATGAACGTGGTGAATACGTGGGAGAGAACAGTGAGGGGAGCACGGGGAAAAAGAGAAATACCATTTGGTTAGCACACACACACTTAAGATCCTTTAACTTGCAGGCGATGTTTGTGTTTTGTCACAACTGTACTCAAATAAATCATTTCTTTTTTTTTACTCAAACCCGAGCTTTGGAAAATAAAAGGTTATCTTAATAAATATTTCAGAAGCAAAGTTAATACCGAATTCCTTATTTTGAGATTATGTTTTTGTGCAAAAGTGTGGGCTTGCGGCAAGTGTACTTGGGGTGCATTTATATAGAAGAGCCTTGAATTTGGAAGAGAATAGAGATTAGAGAGATCCTTTGGCTATTAGAAAACCAAAACCCAATACCGAAACCGCTTCAAAGTATATAATTATTGTTGAATTGAGAGAGTGTAAAGCAATATTTACGACATATATAGAGACGGAAATCACAAATCACAAACTTTGGGGTGCAAAAACTCACTATCAATGTAACCGTTACCAATAAAGGACACAACAACGGTCCAGTTCTCGTCGTCGTGCTCCGGATAAGGCGTTTTGGGTAAACAGGAGTACTCGCCGCCATCCGTGATGCTTCGGATTTCGATGGTGAATCCCCGCTTCGGATCGTATCGACCAACTTCTCTGCTGGAATATCTCTGCGCACATACACAGGAATAAGGGATGATCAGATATCACTAAAATGCCATAATGCATCCCGGAAGATGACCCTGCCTATCTAGAGACTGTCAGTTGAGGACATGTAACTTGATGGTTAATTCTACGTAATATAATTATCTATATTGGTAATGATATCTGCAAAAGGAACTGTATATACAGGGATACTTGTGGGGCTAACTACGGATAGATATAATTGGAATCTCAAGCTGGGACATACTTTTCTGGTAGCTAATGTCAAAGAGCGACTGACTGTCCAACGAATTATCGGAGCAATAGATGGTACTCGAGATGTACTCAATGACGCGGAAGGTGAAGCCTAGTTTGGAGTCGTACGTCCAGTTCTGGTAGAAATTGGGTTGGCCCTCAATCCTGCCATTCGAACTGATGTTCCAACTCAACTGATTATCCTGTGCGCCAATAAGAGGGATCTCTTTTAGTTCAAGGATAACAATACAAAGCTCTGCATGAATCATCTAAGATCTCAAATCACGAACATTATATTGGATAAAACTCTTTAACCGTTTTATTAATCTATGCATGTGAGATCTTTGCATTATTATAATCTCCAATGGAGGATTCATGCAGGCTTTTTCCGGGCCCTTCAACTGGAATGTCTTTAGGGGATTACAAGGATAGGAATTTCTCCCCGGACTTACATCTCCATTGAAGTGCAGCAGCACCTCGGTCTCGGGCATGGCCGGCTTGCAAGGTATGACCACGTCGCTATACTGATGGGCAATCACGATCACCTCCGTCGGCACCAGCTTGTTGAACGGATCGTTCACGTACACGTAGATGGAGCTGGCCTGGTCCTGGTTCACCATCTCGCGCACCTCCTCGTCCGACTCCTGGGACAAGTTGATCTGGTCCAGGCTGGACTCCTTAATGCAGAAATAGGCGCCCACCTGGTCCGCCGTCACCTCCAGGAGATCCAGTCGCACGCCATAGGGTCGCGTCGGATCGAGATCATTGGTGAATGTGGTCAAACTTGGATGGACTTCTGAGTTGATCCACCAGATCACCGGCTCCCCGGCCTCGCAGAGCAGCGTGTAGTTGGTCCGGTACTCCAGCTTGATGTTGTCCTTGCAGGGCGTAATAAGCGGCGCTCCGTTCTCGCCGCCGCAGCTGATGGGTGGGTCATCCTCCGGATCATACTGAGGTCGGGGAACTGCGAGGGATCAGAGAATTGTTAATGTTTTTTACAACAACAAGTTAAATATTAAACGAATGTATTAAGATTTTCTGTCATTCCCAGTCTGATATTTTATAATAAAATATAATAACAACCATAAAATGTCACAGTAGCTAGCTTCAAGTGGGAGTGCAGCTGGTTTTGAATGGAATTATTGTTCATTGATTGCTCAACAGGCATCACAACAAAATTCTTCAAATACTTTATCTATTACCAAGTGCTCAGCCCCCTTTACTCGTCTCTGGTGGCGCTATAATAATGACTTTAAGTGATTGAGCGGTTGACCGCCCCTCAGCCGATCTTCCTCTATATATATTTTTTGCCATATTTAATTGGAGAGCGTAGAGCTTCCTCTGACTTTGTCCCTGTGGCGGCGTCTGCTTGCCGAGTTCACTTGGACTTCATTTTCTCTCATTCGGAATCAATTATTTGTTTACAGAGGCGGCGATAACAATAGAGAGCCTTGCCCCGTCTCTCGTCTTTGATTCTGATACGGAGGGCATTATGTTCTCGCCTTCGTTTCGATCGGAGCATTCAGTGTTCCACATATATGTACATATATGTCTTCATACATATGTGTCTAAGCTAAATAACAAATCACAATGGTATCTAATATTAAAAAAACCTAATAGAATTAATGGTGCGAAGAAAGCAGAGCCGGCACCAAAATTCGGTGTCTTATCAACTTGGGTTCAAAGTTCGGGTTGGTGTCTAGTGTTTCAACTGTAGGAGGAGCTGTGGGTTCTTTCTGGACTGACTTTATATAGGAAGATGAGGAGATTAAGGCTCTATATAGAAAGAGAAATATCACTCAAATGGGGGAATAGTAAAATCCATAGAAATTGGTATAGTATTTAAAATAGTTTGTAGTTTGGCTTTTATCTTGGACGTTGATGCACTAAGTTCAGTACATTCAAGTGGCCCGTATGACACCAGGCACGTGCCTGTTAGGGTTAGGTGTTAGTAGGCGCGATGAAAAATATAGGACAGAATACGAGGAAAATTGAACTACCGGCGTGCTGCCAGATTGTTAGCTTGCATGCTTACTAAGTGTGTTAGTATTAAAGATTTTAATTTAGGAAGGGTATCTACGTTAGAGATTAGTGTGTACAAATCATTATAATTTGCACATAGCACTCTAAAAGGTTCATGCAGTTCAAAGGAGGTCCTACAGTGGCGCAACACTAATGGGATATAGGATCTAGTAGTTCTACATGGTACATGGAAATTAAGCTGACTCAACAAGTCAGCACTTTCCACATCATCATGTATAAGGTTAAAAATAAAGGTTATCCCTAGCATCGTTCTACGATTGGCTAAGGACGGCAAGTTTATTAATAGGAGTCTACTAGAGTAGGAAGGTAATCTTTGGTTTGCATCCCAATTTAAACCGCGTAGAGCGAAAAGTAAAAAGTTCTTTTGAACCGACTCAATGCGTTTACTATGGACGCCGTACTGAGGGCTCCAAACGCAGCATCCATATTCTAGGATAGGACGAACTAAGGAAGTATATAAGGATTTAGTAACATAGGGGTCATTGAATTCCTTCGACAAGCTATAATGAAATAAATACATTAGCTGACTTTTCTCTCTAGAATTATTATTTAAAACTAATTAATAATTGTTAAATAAAATTGTAGCTCAATAAAATATTTTTTCAATAACATACATGTAGAAAAGTTTAAATATGTTTAATTTTTACATACTTTGATAATTTTTCAAAAGTTATTCAGCATAAAACCCAAGTTTGTTGATATCTTAAAATGATTTATATGCTATTTTCTGTACTTCTACACTTGAAAGGGTAAATTAATCATTTTGTTTTTCGTGGTTTTCCGAAATAAAGCATTTTATAAACATATGTGTTTATTAATAGAAACACTTGTATGTTTTTTCAGTGCAGAAGCAGAAACTAAGAAAGTGCGAAATGTTAACGGAAGGCGCCTTAAAGTGCCTTTACTTTAAATACTTTTTATTTTATATATTTTGTATATTTCTTAAATTAATAGTAAACTTTCAAATTAACTTACGTGCTTCGATCCATGAGATTCCTAGGAGCAGGAGAATGGGCCACAAATTCCGAGGCATCCTCTTCAGCAACATCGATCACCGGTTTTGTTTATTTGTTTGCTTTGTGCTTAAATATTAATACTAATTGATTCGCCTAAATATTCACAGACTTAGCACATTTGGTGCAGTAATTCCATGGTCACGTTGGAAGACACTTTGATCACTTAGCGGTGCACTGCAAGAAAACGGAAGTGGTTGCGGCTGCTTTTATAGCGTTGTATATTTGGGTTTTAGGTTTAATTAAATTAAGCGATAGAAATAGTATTTAAAGTTTATTTGGAGTTTTTAAAGCAAGTGTTTTATCACATCACATCATTAGAAAGTTTTGATTGAAAATATATTACCCGGTAAGGGTATAAATATTAAATCATTTAAAACGTTTTTATATGATTGGTTTTCAAATTATTTAATTTTCTATTATCTATTTATATGTTTATTTTCATGTTTAGATATATTAATTTAAAATATTTTCATTATATATTTATTTAAATTGATGTTTTTTGTAATAACTCTGAGGGCTAGATTATGTTGAATCTCTTTTGTCGCCATTTGTGGAAGGTTTTATGTGGGAGGAAGTCTTTTTATTATAAAGTATTGTTCAGCTTTTCTTTAAATTTATTCACTTTGTAGGTGAGTCACATTATTTGACTGATAATTTCATATCATTTATTAGTTTTGTTCATATTTCTCTAGGTTTTCACACTCATTTTTGTTATGGTTTTCTTTGAGTTTTTGAGTTGTGTGGTGTTATCATTTTCACTTTAAGTATTTCATATTGAAATAATCTTTCTAAAACACTTTTTTTTTTCACTTTTTTGATGCATTTTTTATAAAATTATTTACTTTTTTTCTTAGGTTTCTATATTATTTGAGTTTTGGGATCCGCTTCTCCAGCACAGGCACCAGCGGCATAATCACCCGGAGACGACTGAAGCTTTTTGCTGGATTGTCGCCGCGATCGCTCCAGGGAGAATCTGGTGAGCGTTAACATTTACGATAAGACCCAAGACTTCTGGCTGTTGTTTATGGCATCGGGTGCCGATGCCGTCCGTTACAATGCGCGTTGTGTTGATAAATCCGAACAAAAAATAAATAAGTAAGAGAAGAAAACAATTCGAGTGAGTTGAAAGCGCTCTCCCCCGCTCTGAACTCGAGCAATCTCCTCGAGCACTGCGATTTGCAACTATCAAATTGGTGGACTTCTTATCACAGGGAACGCAACACTGAATACAGAACACTTACTTATGCGCATAAACAAAAAACAAAAACATTACGCATACGCACAGTATGCTCCGAAAACATCTCACACCCTTTGCCCTTCTTTTCTTTCTTTCTTTCTTTTTTTTGGTGTCACATCCGCATTGGGCAAATGAGAGCTTCCGGGGAAGGGAATTTAGAGGAGCAGGGGAGGAGGGGTGAGGAGGCCACACCCACTAATGAGGCAACAGGTCGCCCACGTGGTCATAACTCACCGTCGCCGGGCTGAGCCCCCTTGGAAGCCTCCAAATGGCAACGGGACATGCACAATTAAACAAGCTGATCTAACCATTGCCCACACCGGGGGAAACGAAGTGATCCAAAGTAGGGATATAACTTTCTATATATCAAATAAGCCGATTTTAAAGGCTTTAATTTTACTTTACCTCCTTATACAATCCTTAACCGAATACCAAATCATACAAGCGTTATCTGGTTATAAACCCACAATCAAGGGTTTTTCATATGTATGCATCAATAAACTTACATACATATGTAATCATTCAATGCATTTTTTTTCCGAGAAATGTAATCATTGTTTTGACACTGTTTCCTGCTCCCATTTCTTATACTTTTTGTGATAATTAAGGCTGTTGCTATTTATGTTTATAAATAATTTATATGCCAAATGGTTTCAAAAGCTAATATAAATGTTTAAGAGATTTTTCTCCTGTGTACTTCAACAATTAGAGCAAACGAAGTGTTCCGTTGATGTGCCACTTCCCGGGGCCATGTCGTAAACGCGTAATCCCGCCCAGCCGCAGGGACAACAAGTGTCCCAGCTTTTGACATCAATAAACTGGAATTTAATTTGCTGGCAAACTCGGACGGGCCACACCTCCTGTGATGACATTTTGGCCTAGTCAACTTATTGTGGCTAATTGCCAGTTGGTCAGCAAATAAAGCCATTCGTCTTTGTCACGACGAGGACTTGGACGAAGCCAACTCCTTGAGCGCATTAATGCCGTGTCACTTGGTTCTTAGCCCGTTTATTGGCTAATTGGGAAATGGTCTCTGCTTTCACCTGCCTCCCAGCTGTTCATTCCATGCGGATTATATAACGGCAATCACCTGGCAAATATTGACTGGGCCACTAATCACCTGAGAGAGTCCCTCCTGATGAAAAGGCAAGAATACAAATTATTTCGCGAGGGAAATCACTTTGCGATGAACCCTTAATCCTAATTTCTTAATGTTTTATGAAACAAGAAAGAGTGTAACTCAACTCGTTGTAATAAATCAATATTTCATTCCGTTTTTAATTTAGAAAACAGAAAAGTCTAGCTTTCGATAAGAGTTCTCCCAGACTTAGCCCCCATAAAATCACTCCCCAGAGCTATATATAGGGTATATCTACATGCTTAATAGTTGAGAACTGCTTCCTATGGAATCCATTACCGGACTTGAAGTGGAATCAAGAATTCCCCGAACTCGGAGGAGGCAGTTTAATGAATCGCTGCCCAGTAGCCCGACAAGCGATCAAATGCGTCTGGCAACATGTTGCAAGCAACATCTCGGACTTTGATGGGCAGCTGCTACTGCTCCTCCATCTCCTCCTCCTGGTTCTGATTGTGGTTTGTGTGGTCACTCGGTGTTTTTTTTTTGTTGTCATGACGACACGCCCACTTTGCATTTTCAAGGGCGACGCAACGGGCATAGCTCGGCTATGGCATTTTCCTTGAGTTATTTATATCCAGCCGAAGCAATTTTTTTGTTGCTATTTTAATACCTCTTTGTAGGGAAGTTAAAGGGAATGCTTAGTTTAAGGATATAAAAATTGGGGATTATATTATATGATATATATCGATTTTCCTTTAAAAAATACTGTATTACTTTAATATCCTTAAGCTCAAAAAAAGACTCATAGAGGGCGATTAAATCCCGACTGAAAAATCAACTATAGAATTTTGAAACCTCTCTAAGCACATGTAAAAAAGTTGCCTAAATTTTCTCACTAAACAAGTACTAGGTACCTCAAAGTCGCGACTTTTTATCACCGCACTTCCTTCTGGCTTTCAGAGTCGCTCACGTGCTCGTGACGCAAATTGCAGGGCGCCCTAATTGCAGTTCCCAGCTGCAGGCAAATCCCTTTCTCGGCTCTGATTTCTGATTTTTTCCCCCGATTGTTTTTTTGCAGCCCACGGATTGTCGTGCAATTAGCTGCGGACATAATGAGGTCGGGGGAAGGTATGGCAGATGGGTGATGGGTGACCAGGAATCCTTACCCTTCCCTATCTTGACAACACATTTCTGCACTTAGTCATTTTTGTATGGGACAAACAAAACTCGAAAAATACCTGGCACAATTCAGGTTTACATTATGGGATTTAATGATAAACTCAATGCAAATATTTATGTATACCAAATACTTAAATGTATATTCCTTTAATGAGAGGAAATTAAATTCATTCAAGGCTGCATTTATTATTATTATTTTTAAGCTGTATTATTTTTAATGGAATTTTTAAAAAATTTGCACTTTGTCTAGTTTGAGAAACAAAAGCTAGCACTTTTCGCCCTAATTGGCGAGTCATTCCACTTAGCTTTTTCCCTCCAGACAGGCACTTTTCGCACTCTCCCGGAGATCTAAAACATAAGTCGCTCTGCCTGGGATAACATATTGGGGTAATTTATCAAAGAAAATATTTATATTCTCTATCAATCGACAGAGATTATTTTTTTGGGTCACGATTATCCACAAACACAACTCATATATCGATACTTAACATATGTTTATCTTGTATTTGTTTACGGCCAACAACGGGTCGTATTAAGTATGGAAAGTATATGGCAATGACGTCATTTCATGGTTCAGTAGCGCCGCCTTTCATTCACCAATGTCGCTCCTATATATAAATTTAATGATCCCATTCCACAGGCAGTCGCTTGGTCACTCATGTATGACGTAGCCACTCACGTTTCTGTTACGTGTAAATATATTTACATAAGTGACAATATTTACGTATTAATTAAACTGGCGGACACAGCAATAACAAAAGAACCACAACAACATCATGTTTTATATAGTGACTATGTAGTAATAAAAACCGGTTGAGTGCGGTGGGAGAACTTCCCTTGAGAGCGAGTGTCTCCTTGCATCGATCATCAACTGCATTGATCGAACAAATATAGCTAAGTCTTTTGTTTTCAGCTGATAGAAAAATATTAGCAAAATTTATAATAGAAGAAAAACAATAAGAATAACAACAATATTATTATCGTCAATAAAAAAGAATGAGAATATTATTACACCCTAAAAGGGTATCATTATTTAAGTCAGAAGCTTATACACTGAGAAGGAAACATTTCCGACCCTATAAATCATATATATTCTTGATCAGCACCGACAGCTGAGTCGATCTAGCTATTTCCGACAAAATTTAATTTTTTCAAAATTTTGAAAATTTTATAAGGGGTTACATCGTTAAAATTGTCAAAAATTGATAAAATATTGACCTTTTTTAAAAGTTAAATGGAGTATGCAGATTTATAAACCTCTAAAAAACTTACATAAAACTGGTTTCCGAATTGAAATTAATGCGTTTTTGGCTGAGTTATGAATTATTTAAACATTGGTTTGTCAAAAAAATTGTCATATAAAAATATCGATAAATAATTATTATTATTTTAAAGAATGCGAATATTTTTAGCTTAGTTATTTTAGATTTTCAATGCTTCATATTTTATTTCTTTGCAACCAGCTACGGAATGGAAACTTCGGCATGCCAAAGAAGATTAAATTGTATCTAACGCATTTATAGTCCCAAAAAATTACGTATACGCAACGTATCCCTTTCAGGGTATTGTAATTTCAGTCAAAGGCTCTTAATAATATGAAGGAGTCACTTGCGGCCCTATAAATCATATATATTCTTGATTAGCATCGACAGCTAATTTAATTTAAATATTGATAAAATT